GTAAGCTCTACTCCGAAAATCCGGTTTTGATAGGCTCGATAAAGGCAAATATTGGTCATGGGTTCGCGGGGGCTGGCTTTGGGAGTTGTATGAAGATTCTGAAGACGCTACAGACTGGCATAATAGTACCCCAGATAAATTGCAAACCAATGGACCTCGGAAACACGAAAATGAGGGTACCTCTCGAAATTGAGGAGCTAAAGCCACCATTCCTAGCTGCGGCTAGCTCGTTTGGAATCGGCGGGACGAATGCGCATATTGTTTTTGAAGCCGTTGAACAAGCGGGTGAGGCGAAGCTTGCCAAGGCCACTCAGAAAACTGAGCTCCACCTCCTCCCAATCTCTGCAAAATCACCGGAAGCTTGTGTAGCTATGGCCAAAGCTTTAGCGAGATATCTCAAGCAGGAAATATCCAGTTTGTCAGCTGTAGCGTCAACTCTTCAATTTAAACGTGAAGTTTTTGCGTTCAGAATTTCAATAGTCGCTGCTGACAAAGCAGAAGCTATCGAAAAACTGGAACCAATCACTGAAAACCAAGTCCAAAAGGCGTCATCAATTTCCAATGACGACCTAGCCTTCCTATTCGCACCGCAGGGCGTTCAGAGGAGCGATATGTTGCTGCGAGATTTTTGCGCTGACAGCAGCTTATTCTGTGAAGCCATGCAAAGTTCTATAAAATCCTTAAGCCGTCAATTTGACATTGATTTTAATGAAGTTTACTATCCCAAAGAACCGAACGGGCTTATCGATGAGACAAAATACTCCCAAGCGGCTCTATTTTTCCTCGAATCCGCGATCGCAGAGCAGCTAAAAGCCTGGGGAATTGAAGCGGATATCGTAGCCGGCCACAGTTTAGGCGAGTACTCAGCCCTCGCTTATTCTGAAGCTCTAGAAAAATCGGCCATGCCTGAATTCCTCAAATATCGCGGGGAGCTTTGTCAATCAACCCCAGAAGCGAAGATGCTGGCCGTCAAAGGAAAATTCGAACTTCCACCCGGTGCTGAAATTTCCGCCTATTTGGCTGAAGATTTCTATTGTGTAGTTGGACCTCCGGATGTCATGGAAAAATTTGAAAAAGTTTTAGCGGACCAGAAAATCGATTTCAAGCGGATTCGGACAAAGCACGGGTTCCATTCTTATATGTTAGAACCTATAGTCCCGGAGTTCGAGCGAATAGCTGGGAAATTAGCGTATTCATTCCCGAAAAAGCGGGTGATTTCGAATTTAAATGGCGACATCCTGGAAGAAATCGATCCAGAATACCTCGCAAAACATATCCGAGCTCCGGTACGTCTTGATAAAACCATTGACACACTAAAGAAGAACGGGGTGAAGGCGGTCATTCAAATAGGCCCGGTCTCGATCAGTGATCTCTTGCTCAAAAAAGCTGGAATACAGTCGATCCAGACGGTACCTGCCTTCAAGGATGCTAACCCAAAATTGGACTCCCTGCTCGGTACGATCTGCCGGTTATGGGAAGTCGGTTACGCCATTGATTTCAAGAAATTTAACCCGAACCCGGAATTATTCGACTCTCGAGTCCCAACCTATCAATTTAAGCCCACAATATGTTGGCTGGAAAGGAAGAAAAGAACCGAAAATAGCTCCCAAAAATTGATGAACTGGGTTTGGGTTGATTGTAAAAAACCGGAAAAACCTATTGGCTTGAAGAAGCCGCTGATCGTCACAAATTCTGAAGTTCCTGGACTTGAAGCTCGGCTACTTGAGCTTGATTCCGAAGCCAGAGTTGCGAAATCGGCTAAGGAGGTTGGTAAAAAGCTAGCAAACCATGATTCCTTGATCTATTTCTGCAAATCTAGCGCCAATTTTGAAAACGATACCTTGGTTTCGTATTATTTTGCTCAGCAATTAATAAAATCTGGCGCAAATGGAAAGCCGATTTTTATAATTACGCCCAAAAATTGTCCAACCAGCTGGATGACGCTTGGACCACTTCGAGAAAGCCTACTACGCTTGAAGGTGGAAAATTGCTATTTTGTGGAAAACCATGAACTCGAGAATCTCGATCTCAAACGAATTCTTACCGTGCCAGTGATCCAGAGCTCCTCGAAAATCTTCAGAATCTGGGATGGCATAATTCAAACCTTGTCCTACGCTGAATTTGACCAACCTGACGTTGAAATCCCAGATTTTAACAACATACTTGTCGTCGGAGGAACTGGTGGGCTTGCAAGAAGCTTTATCCGGGCCCTACACAAAGACAGAAACATTGTGATATGGTCCCGAACGGCTACAAAAAGCGCCAAACTTGGAAATCTGCTAGATGAGCTCGAAATGCGCGGAAGAACCGAGCTTCGAGATATAGAAATTGAAGACGCCGACCAAGTCAACTTAGCCATTCACAACTTGGTTTCATCAAATTTTCACCCGGATTTGATACTCTACTGCGCTGGCGTTGGACCTAGTCCGAATCTAGAGAAAAAGCTGGCAGAATCAATGTCCGTGATAAAACCTAAAGTTTTGGGACTTCAAAACTTGATCGAAGCCTTGAAGCTAAGCCAGGTCAAAGCCAAGAAGCTCATTATCGCTTCTTCTTTATCGTCTGTCCTCAGCCTACAAGGTACGCAAGAGTACGCATCGGCAAATTTGTACTGTGACGCGCTAGCACTCAGTGATTCCGAAGTTTTTGACGAAATTCTAAGTATACAGTGGCCATCGTGGAAAGGAATCGGAATGAGCAGCAAATTGGCTAGTGGCGCTGAAAATCTACTTGAAGGGGGCTCAATCTCAGCCAAGGAAGGGGCAACAATGTTCCTAAAAGCTCTAAGCATGAGCGGTTGCGTCGCGGTCACAAAAGCCGACCCATTTCGGCTACGTTATAAACTTGTTGACGCATTGATCGGGCCGAAGAACCACGAGATAAACGCTACCGATCAACCTCTGGAAAAACTTAAAGATATTTGGATAAAAATCCTATCACTGAAGATATTAGAAGACGATACAAATTTCTTCGCAAGTGGAGGCCATTCTCTGTTGGCTCTTCAGCTAGTCTGGGCGATACGCGACAATCTAGGTATCGTAATCAGTGAAGCCCAAGTGATGGCCAAGCCCAGATTCAAGGAGTTTGCTGAATTTCTGTTTTCCCAAGCCGAAACCTCAAAGAATAACGACGTTGCCATCCCAAAACTCGACAAAACCGCTAGATTACCACTTACCTTTCCTCAAGAAAATATGTATCTGCTCTATGAGCTCAAATTCGGTTCGAAGTATAATATCGTATTTACCGTCAACTTTGACTTAGCTAAAATCGACGAAAAACGGATTAATTTTGCCCTCCAAAGGTTGGTAGCTGAACAAGAAGGCTTGAGAACAATTTTTAAACGAGATGTGGTGGGAATGTATCAAGAAGTTTTATCGCTAACTGAGTCGTACCACGAAATCCAGCGGCCTCAACAAGTCCAGCTAGATACCGAGGACATGATCAACTACAAATTCGAGTTGTCGGATTGTTGTATGTTAATAAGGCCAATGCAAGAGGGTAACCAACTACAACTCACATTTTCGCAACATCACATAATTACTGATGGGTGGTCAATGACCGTATTGGCGCGTACTCTCAGCGATTGCTATAACAGTTCTGATGAAAAGAAACGTAGGACGGAAAGAATTGCAATTTCCGATTATGCCGAATTTACAAGGGGCTACGATTTCACAAGCGATCTTGAGGAAATGTCAAAGAAAATTGATCCAACGATCAATACGGCTCTAACGGCCATAAAACATGAGCCGCAAAACGATAAAGCAACGAAGTTTCTAAGAACTGAATATTACTTACCGCAGAAAGTTCATAAGTACATTAATGAAATGGCGAAAAACTCGGAAACCACGGAATACATTGTCATGGTGGCTGCCCTAGCAAAAGTTCTCCGAAAATGGCAAGATGAGGATCAGGATCAGGTTGTAATTGGGAGTCCCGTGTCTGGAAGAAAACAAGTTGAAGTCCAAGATCTTATTGGATATTTTTTGAACAACATCGTCATTTGTATGGAGGTGAAACTTGACGATGCCCTAGAAGAACTGATTCTAAAAGCGAAGATTGCTGTAGCAGAAGCCATGCAATACGAAAATATACCATTTCATATTCTGGTGCAAAAGCTGAAGGTCCCTCGAAGTGGACGGCATCCGCTCTTCAATGTCTACTTTAATTTCAGGTATTTTTATCAAAAAAAAATAAAATTTTGAAATTTGGATTACGATCGTTACTAAAATCTAAGTTTTTAAATACCGTAGCCCCTCAGAAAAAGAGCGAAAAATCCGTAGAAGCTCTGCTGCCGCTTTTTTGTTTATAGCTTTTTGGATTTTGACATTTGCGCAATTACAGTAATACGCGCTGATCGATAAACTCAAAAATTACGTTCGAAAAATATAAATTTGAGAATTTACGTAGCGTACAGCATTTTTTCAGTAACTTTAAATATTTTTTTAATTAAGTTTAGCCAGTTAAAGAGGCTGCCGTAACTGACAGTGGTTTTCAGGCATCAGCTCGATTTCCCCCGTGTACAGCTCGGTGACGCCGAGTGCTCAGTAGAACACAACTCGATGAACTCGGTCTTCGATCTCTCAATGACGGTGGATGATACTCCGCAGGGATATCGGCTATTAATGGAGCACAATCTTACTGCACACCCTGAAGCGATGATCAGCAACCTGAGGAAGGAGTTTATCAACTCTTTCAAAGAGCAAAGACAAGGACGGGTACAGATTCCCCGCTTTAAAGGACACAGCCAAGAATTTCCCAGGCACAGCACTACGGAAATCTTTGAAAAGCAGCTGCTAAAAACCCGGGAAAACCCGGCGATCAAGTTCAACAAGTCCGGGAGTGCATTCAGCTACCAAGATTTGCATAAAGTTGCCAATTTCCAAGCCCAATTTATCAATCGTCAAATCTGGATGGAGCGCGGGGTCCCACCGCGGCCAGATACCGTATGCTTCATAAAAGCCAATATGAATCAGACCGTCATTACGAGTGTTGCCGTAGCCATGTTGGGAATGGCTTATGCACCGGTGGATCCGGGCACGAGCCAAGCAAGGTTGGCCTCAATGATCGAAAAGTGTAGTGGATCCGTTAACGTATCATCAGATACCACAGAACTTGAAAATGGCAAAACTACGAAGTACAACTTCCAAAAATCCCTACCTACCGACCTACTGTATATTATTCACACAAGTGGCTCGACCGGAACCCCAAAAGCTGTTCCAATTTCCCATAAGAATTATTCCTGTTTTATTACGGGAGCTACAAAAGATGTATTTTTACGTTCTGGTCAAAGAATTGCGCATTCTGTTAATACCGTATTCGACATGAGCAAGCTGAATTATTGGGGAGCGTGGCTGAACGGTGCCAGCTTAATCTGCGAGGAAAATATTTTGGACCACCCGATTTCGGCTTCAAATGCGAACATAGATGTTCTATTCCTGCCGTCAGCTGTGTATAATTCTATTCCAAATGGTACCTTAAAAGGTATATCTGAAAATGTTGAGGTTCTGATCGCTGGAGGGGAGTCTGTTTCCGAAAATCAGCTCGACAAATCGTTAAAATCAGGCCAGAATTTTTATCAGATCTATGGACCGTCAGAATGTACAATCTGGTCTTCGATAAATCGCTGTAAAATTGGCGAAAATTGTGGAACGTTGCTAGGAAATATCGTAGCTAACGAAACCGGCTTTATCGAAAGAGGAAATTCCCGAACATTCCTATCGACGTTCCAAAAAGGAGAGCTCGTCCTCAGGGGACCAAAGGTATCTAGAGGGTACGTTAACGACCCAGAAAAGTCGAGGGTATTTAGGAACGGAGCGTACACGACTGGCGATCTAGTACTAGCATTTCCTAACCACAAACTACGGTATTATTCCCGAAATGACCGCCAAATCAAGATCAATGGAATTAGGATTGATCCGTATCAAATTGAGCAAACGGTAGTGCAAGCGATACCTGGGGCTACGGTAGCGGTGGTCCAGAAAATAGGCAATAGTCTTATTTGTTTCATCGATCAAGAAGCACTGCCTAAAAACCTAAACATTGCCCTGGCTACCGTACTCCAGCCCGCCGCAATTCCATCTGTGTTTTTGGGCTTGGCTGGAATACCAAAGAATCCAAACGGAAAGGTGGATTCTCATGCTCTAAAAAAGATCTATGAGGATTCCAAAACTGACAAAAACGACGATACGGTAGAAAATACAAATGATGACATGGAAAATACAGTGCTTACTGTTGCCGGCGAAATTCTCGATTCGAAAGTCAACCTGAATTCCAACTTTTTCGAGGCTGGAGGCCACTCCCTACTTGTACTACGGTATGCCGATGCTTTAGCTGAAAAACTAGGAATTACCGTAAGCCACCAAGACATATTCAAATTCCCCAAATTCCGAGATTTGGTTAGATTCCTGAAAATCGGTAAGCCCGGAAAAACTGGAGAGCTAAAAATTATTACGGCACTTCGAGAGGTGAAAAATCCACGCTACAACGTCTATGCGATCCATGCGATTGGCGGGTCGATATTCCCGTATTTTGTACTGTTGCGGATATTCCCGGAGGATGTTTCGGTGTACGCTATAGACTACAAGATTAGCTACCCGGCGCAGACGTTCGATGAGCTGTCGGATTTGTATGCGGAGAAGGTAATTTTGGTGTTTGCGTCTAAAAATTAAACTTTTCAATCATTTAAATTTTTGGACAAATTTAGATTTTTGCAGTAAAAAATTGTCACCTTTGGGCAGATTAAATGGAATGGGAAGATAGATAGACGTTAAATTCTCCTAATTTTACCATTTGTATTTTTGTTTTTATAAAGCTTCCTTAAGACTGAATCGTAGCCGTATTTTTTTCAGGATTTCTTTTTGTACTCGCCGGCTAAGATTTCCCAAAAATCTTTGCTCGTCCCCCAGACGCATTTTTCCAGATCTTTGACCACACTGGCCCGGTGCGCCCCGTTATTCTCGGCCATTCGCTCGGCGGCACCCTATCCCGGGAGGTGATTATGCGGCTGAATAGGCGTGGCCACCAGGTGATCGCTGGATTTCAGAGAAAAACGAAATGTTTTAGATAAAGGATGTGGTGATGTTGGACACTTGGAAGGTTGCCAAGCGAGCGTTGAAGACGAGCGATGTTACGGACTTTATTCAGGTATTCAGTAGTAACGATTTGTTTTAACAATCTAATTATTTCCTGAAAATTCCCAATTTCAGGAAACATTCAAAGGTGTCCCAAATATTGACGCCGTCGTCCAGCGAGCTCAGCGGCTCTCAGGTACTTTACTAAACAATAAAAATAAGCATTCTCCCACGCTCCACGCTCACATATATCGTAAATATTTTCGCGGAAATGGTTTTTTTTAAGCGACCATGTCTTTTTTGTCTTTTTTGGCGACCCTGAAAGCCGAAATAACAAAATCGTTGTGTTTCAGACCTAATTCGCGAACATGACTATACGAAAAATGGACTCCGAATTCACTTGTTCAAAGCCCAAATCCTGGGAATGTCTGCGCTGAAAAATTCGGTCAGGTTGGTGGTTTTTAACTGTTGGAAAGTGGATTTTGAGGTCTGACTTGTCAGAGGAAATGGTCCGAGCGATGCGGTCGAATGGGTTGCAGCAACTGTCAAGTCACAAAGTTCAGGTTGGATCATTCAAATACTAAGGAGAGAGAGAGAGAGAGAGAGAGAGAGAGAGAGCGAGAGACGAGAGAGCATTTGAATAGTTACATTTTACTTTCAAAAAGGTGTATTTTGACTGTTCAAGCAGATCTTGATTTAATTTTTACTAATAGCGGTTACTAAGCAACCTTAGCCAAGCGTTATATTTACGAAAATGCATCAAAATTTACATTTTTCGATAATGAAACATTTTCCTTTCCTAGAATAACCAAATATGGAAGGTGTAAAAGCGAGAACTTGCATTTTTCAGGTCCACATCGTACCCGGAAATCACGAAACGATGATGGCCGAAGAGAACCTGTTGACCGTTCGCGACGCTATTTTGCGTATCGCTAAATCTACATAAAGATCCTATATCAAAGATTTATTGCACAAAAATCATCACGGTTACCCGGATATCATAGGACACGATTTGCACGACCAAGCATTTTGAAGGGAAGCAAAACAATAGAGATCACAAAGGGCAATTTTTCAAGATCTAGAATCTAAAAAGATACTTTGAAATCGGTAAAATCTTAGAAATAGAAGAGTTCCCGCTAGTAGTTAGCTACCAGATTCATCCGTTTTTAGGTTGAGATCCAGAAAGACAAAAAATACACAGAGAAAAACCACGTAAAGACGCCAATACTACGCAATTGGGGGATGGGTGCTGTGAGTTTCGGTAGCTTCAAAAGTCACGGAGATACTCTTGCAAGCAGCTTCCGAATACCGCCTGCCGATCATTTTCTGGAGCTTTTCGTGGAAGGGGCGGATGGTGAATGATAGGTGGAGGGGTGAGAAGCAGAAGTAGACGGCCAGGGCGACGGGTAGAAATCTGGACCAAAGTGGTTCGAGTTGAGGGAAGAGCCGGGAGAGCCAGGTACTGCCGGAGAGGCAGAGGCCGAGCAGGAGGTTGTGCCAGACGATCGACTGAAAAAAGTTAGGTTGTAAAAGTTTTTCGGGAGGTTGGGGGCGAGATAGCGCGAGAAAGAGATAGAGAGAGAGAGAGAGCGCCAGAGAGAGAGGGAGGGAGGGAGAGAGAGTGAGAAGGAGCGAGACAACGGGGCTGAGGGGCAGTGAAAGATAAAAGGGCGTGAGGAAGAGGAGAGAGGCCGAGCGTCAGAGTGGGAGAGAGAGGTAGCGAGAAAGATAGAGAGAGAGAGAGAGAGAGAGAGAGAGGGAAGCGAGAGGAGCGAGCGAAAGTGCTCATTCTTCGGCCTATTGCTCACCTCAGCCATCTTTTTGCAAATCAGCACCCGATGGACGTAACCCAACGAGATGTCCCTCGAGAAAACCAACGCATTAGCGGCAAAATTCAAAAACACCCCGAGAACGCCCAAACAGAGCGGTAGATACAGGGATGCTTCAGATGTTAGGAAGGTCCTGAAAAAATCTTAGTATTTTACGGTTTGCGTCTACATCCGAGGCCTTCCCTGCCTTCCAAATCCCTTAAATATCACATAACAAGGATTATATTGAGTTTTCCATTTTCTCAAAAACTTCCTAACGTTACAATTTCCCAGCCCAGACTGCCCATCGGTCACTAAACATCACTAGTACCACTCGACTATTCCCGGAGCGTTACGACGTTAATTCCCTGGGAACCGTAAAGCTACAACTTTCCCGTACCACCCTATTTTTTTTGCTCGGCATGGGCAAGGGCTTTTCCTTTTGTGGCAAGGGCTTTTTTTGACAACCCGGCTGAAATTCCAATGCCTGGAACTGCTACCCACCAGAAATTGGTGGGAACGAAGCGGCGCAGGATGACGGTCTCGGTGCCGGATTGGTACGATAGCTGCTCTGTGTCCATACAGCACAAGGAGAGCTGAAAATCACGGAGATTAGAAGGTTCAAAAATCCCATCATATATTTTTGTTTTAGATTGGATTAGGTGGTTCCGGAAAGCGCCTGTTACCGGAAATTGGCGCTTATAAGGAAGTCGACTTTGACATTGACGTAATCCGTAAATTTTGAGGTTTGAAGGGACTCGAAAATCGTGATTAGGGTTTTTGGTGTGGATTCTCTATAGATTTTCGGCGCCCGCGACACGCAACGCGCTCGCCGTTTCATCTCGTACTGGAATCCAACAACTTCAGCAAGGTCAATTCTCGCGCGTTGCGTCCCACGGGGAAGTTATGCAACTGCAATTTTTGGGGCCGATAACTAGTGAGAAGAGAAGATGAGGAAACGGAAAATGTACCATCGTTTTTCAAAATTAAGCCTCTTAAAACTAACCAGCAACCCCAGCGGTATCGTGAAGTACAGGCCAAGCACGGTGACGCCGGCTATCCGATTGGTGAAGTGGAGACCTTTTAGGGCAAGGAAACGAATCAGGATGATGTAGAGGAGGATTAGAGAAGAGTAGTGAAGTAGGTGAACTGGCATGGCGAAGCTGCCACCGGCCAGAATCGGCAGTTGGGATGAGAAGGCGTGCTCGGTGCGGAGGGTCCATAACCTGGAAATAGTTTAATTAGAGAAATTTTTGCATATTTTGGATTTGTTAGTTTTGTTCAAGTGCTTCCGCGTTTTTGAGGGACTTAAATTATCTTATAAGGCTTAGAACTGAATTTTTATCAAAACTACTAAAAAAATTGCCTTTCATTAGCTCTTTTCTTTTAGTTAGTTTGGCTATTTTTCAAATTTTCCGCATTATACAAGCCAGACAAGATGCAGCCATTTCGAGCCAAATCCCAAGCCAACCAGCGCCGAACTTTCTGGGAATTCTTTGCCCGCAAGCTGTGTTGTTTGACTCTACCGCGCGCCGATTTATCACCAAAAATTAGGAACACCCGGAGCAGCTGTTTTCCCCTCGCACTGGGGTGGGGGCAGCTGATTTCATTTAGCCTTAGATATGGAATTGTCTTTTTGGGGTGAGAGAGAGAAAGAGAGGAGAGAGAGAGAGAGAGAGAGAGAGAGAGAGAGAGAGAGTGAGAAAAGGCGAAAAGCAAAAACTTTCACCTGGGCTGTGAAATGGCGACGATGACGGCCAGGAGGAGGTTGAGGAGGGTGTACAGCGTTAGTACCGTTGAATAGACCTGAAAATTACAATTTTTAACTTATTTTAATCTTGTTTAACGTCTAAGGAGACAGGAAAGGCAAAATATATACAGTATTTTAGATTTCGATCAATTTTTCAAATCCTACGCGCTTTCAAGCGCTTCAAAATGCTTTTCTAGGACAAGCACGAACCTAGACTAGCCTTCAAAGTTGATTTAAAAGCTCGAAAATAATTTTTTTTAGATTTTTCTAAAGACCTTGATGAATTTCGGTGATGATGTCGTGATCAGCATCAAAAACAGACTGGAGGTGAGCAGGGTGGGAAGGAGCAGGACGTACGGGACGTATTCAAGCCACTGAAATACGTCGTCCATCAATCTAAACATTAACAATAATATAAATTGTCAAAATTTTATTAATGAAGCGTTAAAGAGGGCGCTTTAAACCATTAAATAACATTTTACAGCCGAGTTCCGGTCACTTCGCCTAAATCCGTTTCGCCTAAACCCGAATCGCCTAAACCCATATCGCCTTAAACCCATGTCTCCTAAAGTTTAGGCCATTTTCATAGTTGAATTTTCGACAAAAAAGATCGAAAATCGGTCGAAAATACAGCATTGAAAATGGCCAAAAATCTAGGCGAAATGGGTATTAGGCGAAACGGGATTTAGGCGAAATGGGTTTTAGGCGAAACGGGTATTAGGCGAGACGGGTTTTAGGCGATATGGATTATAGGCGATATGGGTTTAGGCGAAACGGGTTTAGGCGAAGTGGTTTTAGGCGAACCGGCCGTCACCCTTTACAGCCAAATGGCATGGTATCAAAAATGCCAGGGCTCTCGAAGAAAGTTTAGAAATGGGGAAATGATACGCTTGGGCGCCCCTGAATTAAAGGGTTGTCACGCGGAAGAGTGTGTATTCGAATCAGCGGCGTTCATTAATATTTGTGAGCAATAAATCGAACCGAAAGCCCCCCGGGGAAGTTGTGTCACAGCGAAAAACAACTAAAAAATGCATTATAGTCTCACAGACTGGTCAACGAGCTCTAGAAAATTTTGAATCGTGTTTGGCACGTTTTCTGAGTGGAAAATCATACAGAAAATGTGCATTAATGAAAGGTGGAGGGCGAAGCGACATTTTAAGAAAAATTTACACAGAAAAGTATCTGTTTTTCAGATTCCTTTATCGCTTCCCTTTCTTTTCAAGCAATTCGGATGGCGAAAATCGACCCCTGCCACCCGTTAGGTCCGGGCAGCCACGCTGCGCGCCAAATGACGGAGAGAGGCGGGGTAGGCAGCTTGTATGGAATTCAGGTGTGTTTGGCGTCGTTTTTCTATTCGCAATTGTTGCGCGTATCCAATTTTAACGAAATCCATAGGCGCAAAATCTATTGAAATGCCTAGCACGTGCCTTTAGGGCATCAAAGAAGAGGCCAAAAAATTTCTGTCATCAGAAAACAGCCAAAACAAATGCCTTGCCGGCTCCTTTAACAGTCGGGTAAACGCAAGACGCAAGGCAAAAGCGAGCTTGGTCTCGGTTTTAAAAATTCCGATAACCGGAAATTAGAGGGCAAGGATAGGATATCGCCATTGATAAAAATCCAGAAAAAATAGAAAGGGATCTGAAAGTTAGGCACATTTTTTGTGTCCAATCCCACCCCGAAATCGCGCGCCTTCTAAAATCCCGGATTCCGGAATCCGGTCGCCCACCGGAAATCAGAACACGAGCAATTTTGCCGGCGGGAGAGGTGAGGGGTGTCGGTGTTAGATGGGCGTGTCGATTTTCCCAGGGTCCGCCGGTTGTGTTCGGCCCAGCCGAAATGTGTGGCCATGAAAACCGAAAAATTGGGGGATAATTACCGGGCCTCCCCGCAACCACAACCGCCATCATCAAAGCACCCGGGCGAGAGGTAGACATTGAATTGTTGAAAATACGCTTCGACTCAGTGGGGGCTATTGTCGCCTTTTCAAGCGGAGCGAAACCAGGGTTGCTCGTGGTTCCGGGCTGACCACAAGTCACAACGAAAAGGTATGACTTGAGGATGTTTTTGTAGCTTTTTGTATAAATTTAAAATTTATGTGATTTTTGCTCGGCAATTTATTACGCAATACAGCTACGATACGCGCTACGATACGATACGCTACGATACACGCTACGATACGCTATGATACGCAAAACACGCCTACTCCAAGTCCATCAAGCTCGAATTTCTATAGCCCTTAACAAGTCCAATTTTACGCATCTTTGAAGCTTACAGTATGCCTTCCAGCCGAAACCAGCTCGAGTTGATATGAAGAAAAGACAACGCCAGCCCTAATTTACTACAGTACGCAAAGCCCCTACGCACGTAGTCACGTTGATCCAGGTATCCCCCGAAACTTCTACTACGATTTTTGCGAAAATAAAGCTACAAAGTTGATGTCCAAGCTTAAGTTCAAAATCGAACTACCGTTACCAGAAGTTAAAACCAAAATACGATCCACAATAGTTTTGATATATTGGAAAATTGTCCAAGAAAATTAGGGTCAAATTGAGAAGCCGGTTTCGAAAGCAAAGCACCACGGAAGGTAGCTAAAGAGGAGCCTCCATTAATCAGAGTTCACGGAAAAATTGGGCACTTTCCGAAACTCGGATTTTCGATGCTTTGTAACAAACGAGTTAAACACCCAGCTTTTAGGTTTCAAGGGTACGGCAAGTACCGATGGATCTGGGTACAGTAACCAAACCTCTAAGAAACTCAACAAAGAACGAAAAACCTATGGACCCCCCAGCTCGGCCTCCTTGACGCACCGGAAGCACCGGAAATGCGGACTAATTTTCAGGCCCCCGAAAATCATTAGGAAAAAAGGGAGGGTGGAGGCATTCCGTGACCACACGCCCGCAAGGTGTTTTTATACAAAACTCACCTGCCAGCAGCAGATTTTTGAGGAAGAAATTAAATGGCAAATGGGCACCTTGTGACTGTTTGTCATCGGCTGATGATGGCCGGCTGAATCGAAAGGGCGTAAGGGCGACTTTTTGGAAAATTTTGTGATCAGAAGGTGATTAGGTTGCAGATCCTGCTAGAATATAGGCCATAAGCTCCAAAAAAATGTCTTGGAATCGCGAGGAAAATCATGATTACGGTATCGAAAACTAACCTTTTCATGAAATGGCGTATCAAAGTGATGTTTGCTGTGACCATGACCAGAACCAAGCATTTAATTCAGTATTAAAGAGGTCATAAAGCGCAAAAATTTACCCATTCTATTGCCTGGATCTTGACAGCTGCGCGTTACACCAAAAACAAGGGTTTCCGAGGGCTTTAAAAAGGTTTCTTGCGTTTTTGGCACGCCGCGTAGTCGTCAAAAGCTGGCCGATTCCAGGTGGGTCAATTTTGGGGTTTACGTTATAATTGAAGTACGTTTTTTGAATGTGTATTTTCTATAATTCACAATGTGTTCAGGCGAATACCTACTTAGATTTCGAGTATTTATTGAAATTGAGAGGAAACAAACGATGTACAGAAATTTTTTGAAGGCTTTTTGAGCATCTACAGCTGTTTCTACGGTACCCGCCGAGTCACCCATGCCTAAAGGCCTTCAGCGTCTTCAAGCCGTTCGGTTAATTCGATTACAAAATTTCCATTCAACGCTTTTCTATTTTGCAGCACTTAATACTGAGAAATACCGCTAAAAACTCTTGGCTTACTCACCAAGTTTTTGGGTTCCGAATTCCCGCCAACCCCTCAAGGCATCCACTGGGAATTCCCAAATTCGAAATTTTCAGTTTTGCGATTCCCTCACTGTAGCGCAAAAAATTGAAATTAATTAAAATAAAAAGTTTATTTATGAAAATGCGAGGATGCCGATGGGGTGAATGGGCGTCGCCTTCCTTCCTTCCTGCTCGGTCATATTTTGTGCGAGATCTCTAGAAAGAGAGAAGGGAAAATTGTGTCTTTTAGAAGAGGATATTTACCCGAGTCGTCGACGGCTTCCGGTTGAATTCTCTTTCTGAGGCTGCGAATTGACTGCCGGATGGAGCTGATAGAAAGGCGGGGCTCGTCATTTGGCATCCTAAATCTCGAAAATGCTGAAAAAATTTTTCAATATTTTATCAATAGCGGATGCGTTTATAAATTGTTTTTAACTATAATATGTTCATAAAAACGACACAACTTTTAATCCAAAAATTAATTTTAGGTAGCAAGATGCTATAGAACCTTTAGGATTCGCGAGGGAGGACCCAAAATGACCAAACTTTCGACTTTTCCAAACATTTTTTCTAACTTTTTTTGACAGTTTTTCAACTCTAAATGAAAAATTACTAACTACAATGGGAAGACACTTTATATTTGATTACTAGATCAACCGGCACCGTCAAGCAAAAAAAATTGGTTACTACTTACTTCAAATGCGCAACAGATCCAACGATATCCTCCTCATCATCCTTTAGCCCGGGTAGATATTTGTGGTGCTAAACGATGCGATTACGCCATGTTTGGTAAAAGCTCGTTTGTATTTGCCGGAAAACTCACATAAAATCGATCCCTGATCAAGGGCGGATGCTTTTGCGAGGTTGAATCGACGATGGCCATCGCCGTCTAAAATTAGGTTAAGTTCACTTCTAGACTGAAAAAATTACACTAATATTTTTGTCAAGAAGGTAGTTTGTTTCAAAATCGTCGTCATCTTCGCCCAGTGGGTTTAGGAGGGATTCAGCTACCTGAAAATAGCCACTTCCTGATCGATAGTTTCCCAAAGTGAACAAGCAAAAAATATATCGTTTTCACTACCGTTAAATGGTTTAAAAGCCAAAATATAGCGCGAAAATCGTCAAAAACCGCTTTTAGCCAACCCGATAAAATTCTATACCTTCATCCAGCCGATGTAGAAAACAAATTGCAAACTCGTGGTGAGCGGGAAATAGATGTTTAGGAACTAAACAAAAACTTTAATAATCGAAAACTGGATACCTGATTTGACTGCGTGGAAATAATAAACTGACGCCCGATTAGACAAAGGTAAAAATAGACCCGTACAGCAAAAAAGACGACCTAAAAATTTAAAAGGTATTTAACCGAAAACAACTTGCACCTGTGGATAAGCTAGAGGAACTGGGACCCAGTCGTAGTTGCTCAACGTCTGCATGAAGTCACGGAAGCGTTTGACCTCCTGCAATTTTTCGTCGTTTTCGTCGTCTTGTTCGTTCGTCTAAGCGAGAGAGAGAGAGAGAGAGAGAGAGCAAGAGAGAGAGAGAGAGAGAGAGAGAGAGAGAGAGAGAGAGAGAGAGAGAGAGAGAGAGAGAGAGAGAGAGAGAGAGAGAGAGAGAAAGAAAGAAAGAGAGAGAGAGAGAAAGAGAGTGAGAGAGAGAGAGTGACTGACCTGAACACAACTCTGCAAACTCGGATCCCCGGGAATTTTCTCGCGAAGCCGCTGTTCATAAATGATACAAAGCGCCCAATTGAAGGGCAACCAATATTTGTTGTATTTCATTGGGACCTGTTCGATCTCGCGAAGCTCACTTTTTTCTAGATATCCTAAGCTAACATTTTTAGGATTTTGCAGAATCCACTTACCAGCTTCGACCAGTGACTCTAGGCTCGGAAACCTTCTGCGAACTCTTAGAGATATGTCACGGAATACCATTAACTAAAACTAAAATGTAGTAAAATGCTCTAATAAACATAGTTTAACAAAGAATAATATAATAGTCACATACTTGCTTAAAAACTCTTGATAAATTACTTACCTGCCCTACGCAAACGTATCTCACAATGGCACGTCGCGCCAGAATCGTCTCCTCATCATCCCCATGGATTAGACAGGACATCAAAAGCGCCGTACTAAAATTACCTATTACTGAGCTGAAGTAGAGATCAGGGATGATGTAGAAGATATGCTTAAAGGGCACGTTCAGGGACGTTTTTTTGGAAAAAGCAAAGATCCTTGCCGCGGCCGGGGGTCGAACCCGGGCCCCCGCTTGGGAGGCGCGGATGGATGCCAGTCAACCATAGCTACAACCTGGCGAGGGGGCGAGGGGCGCCCCACGCCGCAAAGGAGGGGAATGGCCTGTCACAGCACGTACAGGCAGTGCGCGCGGTCCCTACGTCCATAGGGTGTATACGTTGGACAGAGTATACGGCCCCTCTCTGAACGTGCGCTTTAAGTTACGCCTAAAGATCTATCTATGAAACCCACTCCTCAATCCATCCCAAATTCTCGTAGATCTTCTGCCACCTGTTCACCACCAAAGTAACGAAGAAGCCGAGCATAAATATGATCGGCAACCGCTCAATGTTCGTGTTGATGTAGGTGGCGAATTGGTCAAAGTGCCTAAATAAACCAATAGTATCGATTTTCATCTTCTTCTTCGAGATTCAAAAATTACAGAACACTCACTTCTGCTGACCATCACTCAATCCAAGGTGGTACATTAATAAAATAGCATAATACAGGGCGAACCACATTGCCAGTTCTGCCCATACCTAAAGGGGATAAGATGAATGTGTATCGCTTATTAAGCTATTTAATGTTTTTATTTTTATTATTAAGCTATTTTTATTCGTCTTACATTATTTTAATTCATATAATAAAATAAATCCAAACGCGCATTAATGACATTTAACTATCCCGAGGATTGGGTAGTGCGCATTAACGGTCTCTCGAATTCCCAGATAACGACGTACGTAGTAAAAAGTGTACTTCTAGCCGCGCAGTAACCGTGGAGTCATTAAAAAAGCGTAAGGAGTAGTTAAACGTTTCCAAAATTGCGTTAATAGGGCTGTTATATGCTGAAAAACAGTTCCAAAAAGTCGCAAACCGTACCTTAACAAAAAAAAGAAAAACAGAATAGAAATTAACTACGATTACTAAAAGCAAGCTTAGCTAATAAAAAGGATACTTTTTGGCCCTGGATTTCTACTACTCGATTAGATATCGGGTTAACAAATTACACCGAACCTAGTTATCGTTTTCCAATCGCCAACTCACCGATTTCCAAATCGATCCCCTCCACCGAAAGAATAGCTTCAGCCATGTCAACAGCCCCACATTGGACACGATCAAATTGTAGGAGACGGTCATTTCTTCTGGCCGATCTCCAGTGTTTGCCAATAGCCACAGAATGAAGCCTTTTAAAGGCCTTCCCGGGAACACGCCTTGTGCCTGAAATATCAAAGACTACTAGGTAAATAGAGGGGGCCCCGGGTTACGGACCGGGTTATGGAAATAAGGGTGGTGTACAGATCATTCTCCCCCGCGGAGTGTGACGTACGGTTTTTGGGTCGCTCCGGGGTGATGCCGGAATTTTTTGGTTTTTTCTTTGTAGAAATGGCAAGGATTACTGGTTTTCCGGTCGTAAATTATGAGCTTTTTTAGCTGGGGATTGAACGGGTGATCTGGGAATGTCTGACTGGGTGAGAGATATGGATATCCTCGCTGATCTTCAAAGATGAAAAGATGGATGGCGGGGGGTGCGAAAACCCTGATTTTCCGGTGGATAGTTGTTTATTTTAGGATGGGATGTCTGCTTTGGATAGCTGCAGAGTAAATCTCTGATTTTGTAGCTGATGCTAGCAAAAATAGTTTGTACCTTCCGAGCCAGAGACTCGAAATTTAAGCCGGGGCAATTGGGCAATTCAACGCTGTTTCACCACCAAAACTATCACTCAGATCGATCGTAAAATGTATATAATTTTATCTATCTAATAAGTTAGTATAAATTTTTCTTTAATATAATAACAAAGTTTATGTTTTTGTTTTTTTGTACAAAATTGGGTTGTTATGAGTACCAAATTCTAACACCTAGAAAAAATCAGTGGCTTTGAAAATGCCTTCAGTATCAAATAATTGCAGTACTTATGGAATATTATAGTATAAGTAAAAGACTCTTATAGGATAATTTAATGGAGAAAATTAATACATACCCAGCTATTGTTCTTCGAAATCGTATCTCGAAGCGAATTAAAATATCGTATAAAAACCGAACCAATGATCGTAATTAAGTTTCACAAGGATCAGGAATTTAATGGCCCTACCAAAATGGTATTTTTTTAAAATAGAAACTCCACAAAAGTTTTAAAATTCTGGAAAAATCCAAGAAGCGGGAAAATCGGGGGAGCGGATTGACTCGAAGCCCCGGGGCATCCATCGCTGTTGCCCTCCCAGGGCCGATTGAAGCGGATTCACCGTATCACATTAGCGCGACTCTCGTCAACGGCACGCATTTGATCAATCCCAGTCCATCGACTCGATGCTACGTGCTGGCCTTTGGCCGTTTGATCCTGAAAAACGTTTTTCTCCGTCTTGGAAGTTATCGTTGTCAAGGAAAGTTATCAAAAAAGGAAGCCGGCCTTCCGGGTTTATGTCATTTTTTCAGTCCCTGGTTTTGATTTGTACAGGGTGTCCCATAAAAAAGCACCCCTCCCGTATTTCGCCGTATTATATCCGATCGGTCCCAAAATTGGAACAGAGACGTATCAGACCCTAAACAACCACAATCCTGAATTATAGCGCGCCAGCTACAGTAATTTTCGAGATACACAAAAATAAACACTGATTATCGGTTTTCATAGGGTTTTCGTCAGAATCGACCCTTCAAAAATGAAGTGAAAATCCAGCGGCAAGCCTTCTTTAACCCTAAATTTTTTTTCCTAATAAGAATTCATTAAATAACCGTTGGTTTCAACAATTTTGTAACCGAAAGTCACCCCCGATATTAAGCGAAATTAGGGATTCGCAGCCGGAAGTTGATGCAAATCGATGCAAAGTCCAAAAAGATGGCCGAGAAAAACTGTTAAGAATCGCTTAAGAAATGGTATTTTGGCGATAACTCGAAAACTACTGTAGGGATCGGGCTAAAACTCAGGATTGTGGTTATTTAGGGTCTGATACATCCTTATGCAATGTTTCCTTGATCTGATTGCTGGCAAGCAACCAGCTACGGCGGCAAAGCGAAAGTGCCGTATGTTCTTTGGTTGCTTTTTCGGATGTGAAAACGGGTGAGTTTGCTAATTGATGATTGTGACGTCCGATAACTTAAAATGGAGGTGGTGAAGCGCTTCCCATAAGACATAACCATAAAAGTTCATAGCCTATAAAACCTGCAGAATGCGACGACAGGCTTCGAACTTTTTCAATTTTGAGGTTTCGCTATCCAGATTTATCAGTTTCCGATACCGTATTCCTAAACTTTTTCGCCGACCCCTCACCGCCTCGAGGCAACTATTGAACATTTTTTGAACCCCTCACCTCTTATGAATCGGCGAATTCCGGTTGAACGATGATGCGAGGCGAGGCCCCGGGGGTTTCTGCCTGCCCGGTTTCAGTTCCACGACTTCCGGTGTTGTCATATAGCCTCGACAGGGCTTTTCTCCTGCCGATCAACCGTATAATTGTCTAACTTTTTCAGGGCGTTTCGAAGTACGAGCACCTGGCACCGCAACAGGAAGCCCGCTTCTTGGTCACCAACTTCGTTCAGGTCAACATGGAAATACCGGAAGTGCTTTTCCGGATGGTGACTAGGAAACGGTAGGCCGGGGGACCGCAAACGCAAAAAGATTTTATGGAAATGGGTTTCCGCTTCAAATATCGAGCTTGAATGGATGGAGCTCTCAATGGCATTAATAATCACTTTAAAGATGTATTTGTATTTCTAGAAGTTAGAGCCCCGTTTAATAAAGCTGAAAAATTTTTAGATTGGATTGACAAACTCGGGATTTGTTGGTATGATTCGATATCTAGTCAGCGAAAGTGTTCGATTTTTGTTGCTTTTTTCTGTAGAAATGCAGTGCTAAAAGGCATCACGTTAAGTTTAACTTCATACGTAATTCATGTTAAATTTACTTTACATCTATTTTTTGGGCTTTTTTTACTCAACTTAAGCCGGGTCAAGACGTCAGGTTTATGTTTACTTCGCTCGCAACGACCCAAAAAATGCAAAAGTATCCTCGGTTCCAGATGATGAAGAACGGGCACGTGTCTTTGGAATGTTAGGCCCTTGGGGCGACGGTTTCGGGTCAGCCCGACATCGCTCCGGATCAGGGTTGTTCATCGCGTCCCCGGGCCAAAACTTTCGAAGCCTCTATCTCGGTGGGCAACGTACCTAGCGGGATAAAAATTTGTGGAGTTGTAGAGTAAAGCGAGAAGAACGTTCACGCAAAATTTCAAGGCGGTAACGGCTAAGGGACGCACGGGGACGCAGGGTGACGCAGGGGACGGGTGACAGCCCTGTCCCCCGTCCCTTGCGTCCCCCTACGTCCCCGGGCTTCTCCATGCGGCTACAACTTTCAAATTTTGTGAGGACGTTCCTCTCCCTTTCCTCTACAACTCCACAAATTTTCATTCCGCTAGGTACGTTGCCCACCGAGATAGAGGCTTCGAAAGTTTTGGCCCGGGGACGCGATGAACAACCCTGCTCCGGATGCACGTTTCCTGCACCTCGACCCGCACAATCCAGCAAAATAATCCGAGCAGCGCCGCGGGTGGGCGGAACATATTTTGGTGCTGAACGTCATAATCGTCAAGTTTCAAAGAGGCGGGTTGGGGTTACGGTAAGTGGCCAAAGTGGCCAGTGGCCTTAGGTTTCCATGGGCATAAGCTTGGGCTTAGCTCAGGCTTAGCTTGGGCTTGGGCCTAGACTTAACTTCGGCTTAGTTCAAGCTTGACTTGAGCTTGGTTTAGGCCTAGCTCGGCTTTGGCTTCGCCTAGGCCTGAGCTTTGTTTAGGCACGGCTTGGGTTCGAGCCTAGTTTAGTTAGGTTAGATCTAACCTAGATTAAACTTAGGTTGATTTAGGCTTAGGCATAACTTAGTTACTTTCTTACTTAACTTACTTACCGGTTTTTGTTAGTCTTACCTGAACCTATTTTAGGCTTCAGTTCACGCTACGTTTGGATGAAGCCTGCTTTTCGCGTAAATTCCCTTTATTTTTCCGCCATATATTACTTTTATATTTCAGGGCAGTAGCTTTTGCCCGGAATAACTGATAGAGACAGCTACCGTACCCCATCTGCTATAGTTCCCGATTCGACGCGCTGACCGCCCTGAAGCGGAAGCACGCCCTTCCGCGAAAAATCCCAAACAGGCATCCGCTTCATTTCCGAATCCAAGGGTGCGCCTATAAATGGAGGTGGAATGTGGAAAAAATTCGTGGAAATGCGTATGTGGAGTAGCTGAATTGAGGGTACGGTAGTCCCAGGCGCACGTTTCCGGTGTCTGGAAAAAAACGTAGCTTTTCGGGACTTGAAGTTCTGACAATAAGCGTTCCAAAAAGCTAGTTACAAAAGGTACGAAAAATTAGCCCTGACGCCTTCAATTCTCAGAACGCAACACTTCAAGTTGCCCCCTCAAATTGAGGCAATTTGTGCTCTCATGCGGCAATTTTGAAGCGAAAATTTTTCCATCTTTCAAAGGCCATACCTTCGTACTTTGGGGGCTGAATAAAACCACAGAATACTCTGCCCAGCCATGCATTCAGGCCATGAAATGCCTGTCATTATTTCCGTTCAGGATTTCGGAAGAGGGCCTCCCACCTCGACGACTTACGGCGCGGGAAAATGCGTGAAAAAACAATGGCCATTTTTCGCGGGGGTCCTCTCTCTCTCTCTCTCTCTCGCTCTGTTCATTTCTCTCCCTTTCTCTTTTCTACACGGCAACACGCACCGCGCGGTCCACCTTGTACTCGCGTAATCGATTACGACACTTTTTTGGAAGAGAATCGACGCGGGCACGGCAAAATCCCCCCCTCCTCACCCTTCTAAACTTAAAAAAAAAGAAAACGAAGAAATCCCTAGTCTTTTCTTGCCGGCCCCTTTAAACCCAAATTTCCGCTATTGTACTTTGGACAGCATTCTACATCTCGGGCCAAAACCACGTGTGGGTGTAGCATTCGTCCGCCCAATTACTTCAAGCCTCTACACCCTTGGCTGCGCTTTGTGTCCTGGGCCCGCCCCCCCTTCTACCTCCATCTTCTGATGTTGGTTTGGGACCACAAAGACCCCCAACTCCTAGTCCACCACGTTCCCAAGACACTTCAGAATATGAACAGCTCGGTTTGGGTGATTGTACCTGAAGCTTTTATAGGAGCGGTTGAAGTTAAGACTCGATTTTTTTTTGGGCTGATGCGCGCGGCGAATTGGCTTATGTTTAGGCTTAGGCCGAGGCTCGGGCTTAAGCGAGGCTGGGGCTGCAAAGGCTTAGTTTAGGTTTAGGCTTAGGCTTCGCTCAGATTTAGGCGCGGGCTTTGCGTGTGCTGATGGTTAGGTTTAGGCTTAGACTTAGGCTTAGGCTTAGGCTTAGGCTTAGGCTTAGGCTTAGGCTTAGGCTTAGGCTTAGGCTGAGGCTTAGGCTTAGGCTTAGGCTTAGGCTTAGGCCTCTAATTAAAGAAAAAGCTGCAAAACCCGTAGTTTCAAGTATTTTAGTGACATTTTTCATGGTTTCTGTTTAGTTTAATGCATTTTTTTTCTTAATTCCAACATCATAATCACAGAATACACCATCCAAACTTTCGCGTCCTTTTTATCCAAATGACAAGCTCGGAAGGGTTCTTCACACCCGAAAATTTGCCCAAATTCCTCACAACCCGAGACCAATAACCCAGGATTTATGTCTGCCGTCAATTTTCAGGGCTACGGTACCGTCGATTTGACCTAATCCATGCCACGCCGTAAATCCCCCCGGCGTCTCGGTTATTTTTCTCATGGGTCCGCCCATAAATTATCGGTGGACCTTTGGGTGGGGTCCTGACAAAACACAAAGCCAAACGAGTGGTTCTCGACATTTTTGGGATGGTTATCGTTGTCTAGTATTGAAAATCGGGTCGATAAAGTGGGTAGATAAGTAGGTAGATAATTTATTCAATTAAAGCTAACTAAAAGCTACCCAATTATCGTTAAGGTTGTTGTTCGTACTCTAGATATGTCAATTATTCAAATTACAAGCGTTGGTAAAAGGTCACGGCAGTATTTAGGCTTGGCTTAGGCCTAGGCTTAGGCTTAGGCGTAGGCTTGGCTTAGGCTTGGCTTAGGCTTGGCTTAGGCTTGGCTTAGGCTTGGCTTAAGCTTAGCATGAGCTGAGGTTAGGCGAGGTTTAGGCTTAGGTTTAGGCTTAGGCCTAGGCTTAGGCTTAGGTATCGTCTTAAGCTTAGGTCTTAGGCTTAACTTTCCATGAGCTTAAGTTGGTCTTGGTCTTCGGCTTTTATTAGGCTTAGATTTATGCTGAGACTTAGACTTAGGCTTCGGCTACTGCTTAAGCCTCACCTTAGGTAGGTTTAGAAACAGGCTTAGGTTTGGTATTACCCTTCAGCTACGCATATTTTGGACTCATAAAATGCCCAGCATTTTGGATTCTCGAGAAAACTAACTGATCTAGCCTGCGTCACGATTCAAGATCACCAGCCGCATTTCGAAAAGAAAACATCTCTAATCCTCCCCACAGCGTCTCTTTGTCCCGCATTTCAAGATTTTGACGTGTTGCTGACAGAAAGTGACAGGATCGAGTGGAGCAGGCGCAACTTCCGCCTCGTTTAATTTTTGGAATTCCGGGTTTTGGACGTTGAGATAATTTTGGGGCTGCGCTAATCTTTAAGAATTGACATTTTGAAGAAAGAGGATTGTGTTTTACTACTGCTCGAAGCGTAAAAACCTCTGCAAAACGCAAAAAAATTCCAATTGCAAATTCCGCGATGCACTGCGACTCCCGTGTAGCCATACGCGCATCAATGAAAGCCATTTTAGGAGACGACCGCATATTTTTGGCACCTCCCTTCCCAAAATGGGTGCGTGTTGTTTATTAGGAGATGCGGAACCGTTTGTTCTTCGCTTTTTTATGAAAGTTTAGCTATGGCAAAAATATGGATCCCGATGGGAATTAGCATTTTTTTAATTATTAATTATAAAAAACCATTTTTCCAAAATAATTGTAAAATAAAACAAAAAGAAACTTTTTACACGTTCGGCGTCTAAAAATTTACCCAAATATGACAATATTAGCCGAATAAAATAGTAAATTTATTTTTAAATCATTTTGATCTTTTCCGATTTAGGAATTCGAGTCTTTTGTAATTTACTTTTAGTTTTCTCTTCATGCTCAAAATAGCTTTTTTTTGGCTGACGTGCTGAAATCCGCCACATCTACCGTAATCCCTATTGCATTTCCCACAGCCGATTGAGCCGGAAATTTCGGATTTCAGAGCATTAAAACAGCAAAAAAAATCAGATCTCGACTCAGTTAACCGATGGCCTTTAAGGTGGATTATCAACGAAGGAAATACCATTTGAACCGACAGGATTATCGGCATAACTGCCATATTTTCACACATTCCATTTCCGGTCCGCCCCCAACAAAAAAAATTATTTGCCCATTTCGCGAGGGTCATTTTGCCGGCTAGAATAAATGGGTTTAGGCCCCCGGGTAGGCTTTGAATTTGAATTTTATGCGAACCCCGCGGCAGCGAATTGTATTAGCCTCCTAAACCCCAGTTAATCCTGTCTGACGGGCAGAAACGCAAAAAAACAAATGCTTTCAATTTGGTTTTTGCTCATTCTCCTCAGATTTCTATACCTCGTTTTTGTCGTAAAACGGAAATCAAACATTATTTTTGTAATTTCAGTGCTTTCGCTTGGATCCACACCACGAAACCGCGGCCACGATGAACTCCTGCCTGCGATCCCTTATCCTTTGTAAGTTAATGGTTAATTAACTTGGAGCTTGACCCCCCGGCTTGGATTTGATTTGGTTTGGCCCGAATTGGCCTCTAACAAAGGCTTAGCTTATAAGGAGTGCTTTTTTGAGTCATACGCAAATCATTTCCAAAGATAGTTCATTTGATACAGAATTTCATTCTGAGTAACGCTATAAGGTTCATTTTTGCAGAATGGCTGTCCCCAATCTTATAAAATTAAAAAATTAAATCGATGTTTTCCTACGTCCCTCGGCGCGCACCGATGGCAGGCATAGATCGCCACCAGGACAAGGGGGGCCTAGATGACTTCCCAATCACGATCGACGATAGCGCAGTCGGTAGCGCGGTTGTCTTTGAAACTCTTTTGGACTTCTCTGGGAGGTTCGATTCGATTCGATTCGATCCACGTGTCTTTTGCTTTTTGAATTTTTATAGCGGGAATGGCTTTTTGGCTTCAATTACCATGGAATCCGGTCTATGAGCAGGCACGACTATAGTGAAATCCCGGCGAACAGTAACAAGGCTCGGGCCTGGAGACTTCACTTTGACCAACTTTGAAGCAATTGCCAACTCAAAAACGCAAAAATCACATCCCTATGTACGGAAACGCAATTGACCATAAAAAAAGCAAAAGAAATTACATTTGGAAGAATCGAACCTCCCGGAGAAGTCCAAAGAAGTTTCAAAGACAACCGCGCTACCGATTGCGCTATCGTCAATCGTGATTGGGAAGCCATCTAGGCCCCCCTTGTCTTAGCTTCGGCTTCGGGTTACAGTGCAGTTTACCCCCCCCGCGCCCAGCTCCTCAGCCATACGTCCTATTAATGCGCCGAGTATCTCAAAATGTTCGCCCTGGTCGACAGTTGTTTACTTGCGCCAAAAATTGTTGGAATTTTTTATAACAATTATAAGTCTCGGTTTTCTTTGGTCAATTGTTGCTCGCTCAAAGTGAATTTTCGTATCTCGGCTATCTTTTGACGTACAGAGCTGTCAATAGTACCAAAATGTAGCTGTTGCTCTGTAGAATAAGCCTACAGTACGTTTCAGTCGAAAAAACATCGGAAAATAAAAATAATTTAATTAGAAACACCGGGTACCCTGTACGATTACGACTTAATCTTTTCAACTTTTAAATTCTTGTCAAAAAAATTTTCTAACAATTTTTGGCGCAAGTAAACAACTTTTTCGGAGATTTTCAACTACGGCAAACATTTTGAAATACTGGGCGCATGGGCTGGCGGGGGGGTAAACTGCACTTTAGCCCGGCTTCGGGTTACGCTTGATTTTTCCTAGACTTCTGCATCCCCGTTGATCTTTGACTTCTCTAAGATATTTCCACAGTTTTTCCACACTTTTATCTCATGGCTAAAGTTCCTATGCCGATTTACCAAATTACGCCATGAAAATGCCGATTAAATCCTCTTTTCAAGTGGTCGCCTGCCTGCTGGCCCTCGCCCTCGCCTCGCCAATCCACAGCATTTGGGCCAATCTGCCCCAGCACGAGGTGAGATTTCGATCTGACCGGTTTACGCTTAAGCTTGGAGTAGGCTTGCCGAAGTGTGTTCAAAATTTCTAAAATTTGGTAAAAAAGCTTCAAAAATTTTTTAATTAAATTTAGGTATTAAATTGGTCCCTAATATCGGGCAAACTCCGATATTTGATCTGGGAAACATAAAGTTCAAATATATTCCAACATTTTTCGTACGTAATTACCGTTACCCGGAAGCGCGATTCCAGAGATGGCCGCCGCTGATAATGGGTACTTTGTCCGAGGGGCTGTTGCTTTTTTCTCGCATGCTAATTGCTATTTTGCCGCGATTTTCTGGGTGCGTAATTGCCCGGTCTACGGAGGCTGAAAAAATCGTTCTGGTTTATGGAAAATGCAGTTATAGATTTTGCCCGATTCGTGAAAGAAATGAAAATTGATGGGTGTTTCTACTCTACAGGAAGCGTTTTTTAGCTTTGACAAGACTGCAGTATAAAGTACCGTAGGCTTAGGGGGTTTGTTCACCTTTGGCTCTCACTCTCTCTCTCTCTCTCTCTCTCTCTCTCTCTCTCGTTTCCAATTTCAGTCAAAACGGCAGCTTCTTTCAAAACATATTTCCTCTTTCGTTATACCTTACCCGGAAAAACGATGCCACAAAGGCACTTTGCCAACGAGAATAAATGCAATTTTACCGGAACTTCCGCTCGCCAGGGAGGCGATGGGTCCAAAAAGTAGGTGCTGAAGTGGGAATCCAATCAAAATAGCTAGGCTGGTAGTCCTCTCTAGTCTTCGGAAGCAGGTGTTCTAAAAGAGGAAGCTCCACGTGGATGCTTGGGTAAAAATCATGGTGAAATTCGTTGTTGGATTGGCTTCAGGGGGCCGGGAAAAGAAAAGCGATGTTGTAGGGTCTTTTTAAATTTCGGAATTTAAAATAGCAACTTAACTCACGTGACTTTCAAAAATAGGTAAGAAAATCCGAACTCACTCATTTGAGGCATGAGTGACTTCGGATTTCCTTGCCCTGCCAGCACCTTTCATATTATGCGTAGCCGTGTAATGCCCTCAATCTAAACCGGGAGGAAACATCAATAACTACGCCAAACACCTATTTCCGTGGGTATTTGATGAAATTACGCATCATATGAGCAGAGAATATGCATATTTCCAAACCCCCAGCCAGCGTAATAATTTTAAATTCGCCGTACAATTATTTACGTAAGTGTTTACTCGGGTGATGAAATGACAGAAGATTCTCTCTCTCTTTCTCTCTCTCTCGCTCTCTGTTTTAAATCCGATAAACGCAGAAAATTTCAAACCCCCATTATCTCCCGATTTCTAAACCCAGACACCCGGTTGAGTGCATCATCATATTCGGACAAAGTCTGACAAATTTCGGGATCAGGTGGAAACATAAATGTCTGAACGCGAAAAAGGGTTGGCGGGCGTGAGATGGGAAGGGTTGAATCCCAGCCGATGTGCCCTAATTGAAGATATGATGCGGAAATGGATTCAGAAATGAACGGGAATTCATCAGCCCTCGGTACAACGGGAATTGTAGTGTGGTCGGGATGAATAATGTTGAATGGTCGGGTGGCGATAGCATAAAGCTAGTAAAAAACACATATCGTGTTAGGTATCTTGATCGAGGGAGAGGGAGAGAGAGAGAAAGAGAGAGAGACAGAGATAGAGAGAGAAAGAGAGAAAGAGAGATAGAAAGAGAGAGAGACTGAAAGAGAGACAGCGAGAGAGAGAGAGAGAGATAGAGAAAGAGAGAGAAGGAGAGAGAGAGAGAGAGAGAGAGAGAGAGAGAGAGAGAGAGAGAGAGAGAAAGAGAAAGAGGGAGAAAGAGAGAAAGAGAAAGGGGAGAAAGAGTGAGAAAGAGAGAGAGATACAGAAAGAGAGAGAGATTGATGTGATTCTACATTCTCAAAATTCTAAAAGTCTAAAAATAACTTATTTTTCCTTCTAAAGTAAACTCATGTTCTACTTACAAATTTCCAGGAGAAGCGCAGCTACTACGGCGCCTTCCAGCACGTGCCCGGATACGCTGAGGACGACCGGGACAAGAAGAACATGATGTGGTTCGACCGCGCCAACCTGGCCAACTATTGAGGCGCCACGAATTCAGAAGCTCTTGATACCCATCGTCGAGCCCACGCCTGAATCCACCTCCCGATTCTCTTCTGTATCAGAAGCCCAGCCATTTGTCTTGAATTCCTGTCCTTCCCGCAATGACTAGTATGCGACATTGTGCCTCTAAAGATAAAGAAGTGTTGTTTGGAGCGAGGTGTAGTCACAATAAAAATACGCAAAAATTCATGAATTGGATATGGTAAATAGGTAAGAAACGGGTATAGCTACAATTTTCATGGCAAGCAAACAGAGCACAATATCTATGAGCTATAGGAAATATCAGAGAGAGAGAGAGAGAGAGAGAGCAGAGAGAGAGAGAGAGAGAGAGAGAGAGAGAGAGAGAGAGAGAGAGGATGAGCAAGAATGAGAGAGAGGGAGAGCGCGAAACAACGAGAGAAAGTGAGAAGGAGAAAGGACTAACTTCCCACTTAAAATAACCAGCCCTAGTACGACTGATTTCAAAAACACCAAAAATTGCCGGATTTAAAAATGCATATCGTCGCTTCATTATTCATGCCAGACATGGTACGGCCAGACGACCGTATTGGCAAATTTCTAAATAAGGACAATTCGCTTAAAACGATCCCGGTGCTGTATTTTAATGCCAAGCTCTTATAAAAGCCCGACGTAAGGGGTAGGTAGCTCATCGAAATCTCTCGACCAGCCTCTGAGACCATGCTTCACGGTTTGGCCCTGGTGGCCACGATTTTTGGGCTGTCATCGGCGCTTGAATCTGACACGGACCTTGACAAGGTCCAATACCCAAAGTGTCCACTGGGAGATTCTCGTTGCTATTGGTTCGAGGTGTCGAAGATCGTTACCCCGGAGAACTTTGAGTGGCAAAAGGTAAGGAAGGAAAGAGAGAGCGAGAGAGAGAGTGAGAGAGAGAGCGAGCTCTCCGCCGCTCTTAAATGCAACAATGATATCGAAATCTACTGGCCTAAATCCATATTTTCCGACCTACGACAACTGGCCGGTGGCCCTCTGGGAGGAGCATGACTGGGACAAAGACGTTATGCGCACCACCTGCAACTTGACGTTTTTATGTAAGTAATTTGAGCGTTTAATTATTGTTCTAGTCCTTATTAAATGTTATCATCAACATTAAATCCCAATTTAAGCGCCCGGCTATCAAAAGGGGTGCGCCCAATTCGACAAGTACTACGCGAAGAAGGGAAAGGATCGGATGTACGTGAAGATCCGGCTGACGCTGGAAAACGGGAAGGTATGTTGCCTTGGTTTAAAGTAAGCTATGTGTTCTGTATCCTCCTGACCCCCTTAATGGCGAAATGAAAACAAAATGATTATTTTAGTTCAAAACGGTGTGCTTGCGCCCGTTCGGGAAGAGTCGGCTGCAGTATCAAAAAGGTGCAGTTTGTTCTCACTCACTGTCTCTCTTTCTCTCTCTCTCTCTCTCTCGATTCAGCTCTCTCGGGGAATTTTACATCCTTTCAGTGGTTGGTGACCTGTACTTGATGTCGCACCTGAAGGCCCCGTACTGCAGCTTCGGCTACAAGATCAAGGAGGACAACGGGCCTTGGGAGAAGAAATGGGAGACTTGCAGCGATGAAGACTGTAAATGGGAGGCTTCGTAACCGTTTCGTATTGGTTGTCAGAATAAATTGTATGAGCACGATCAGTTAGTGAAAAAGCAAGATGGAGAGAGAGAGAGAGAGAGAGAGAGAGAGTGTGTGTGAGAGAGAGAAAAGCAGAATCCGTCGAAAAAACAAATCATTCCCTGCTGTATTTCAATTTCCGGGAACTTGAGGCGCCCCGTCAAAAGCATAGTTTCGAAAAGGCTCCGAACCATGTTCTGGTACCTGGCCTGGTTGATGTTAAATTTCGGGGCCGTATCATCAGACATCTACGAATATCCCGAGTGCCCAATGCCGTTTCTCCGTTGGCGCTGTCTCTGGTTTGAGGTGACGAAGGTGGTCGTGCCGGAAGATTTTGTGTGGAAACCGGTGAGTTTTTTTTTGGGTTTTTTAAAATCTACCCTCTAACTATGTCGAAAAGCGGCGAGAAAGCGCGTTAGAGGGTGAGAGAGAGCGAGAGAGAAAGAGAGGGAGACAGAGAGAGAGCGACAGAGAGAGAGAGAGTTCCAATCAATTACGCACTTTAAATAGCGTCAAGCCATGCCGTTTCCATAAAAACCAACAATTTTCGAACTATGACGGCTGGGAGATTGCTGTCTGGGACTACGTGTGGGCGCGAAAAGACCGGAAGCAGTCCTCGTGCAACCTGGCTTTTCCAAGTATGACTTTTACAGTAATTTGGGCGTATTCTACAGGGAGTGCCAAACATACTTTGTTCGTATTTGGCAGTCTTTTGTCCGATCGCGACCAAATTTTTACCTGCGATGGGGGCCCATAAAACCTATTTGCAGCCAAATTTTCCAAAAAAGAACTGTAAAGGAAAAAGTTATCGCTGAAGAAAAGTTTGGGTTCGGCTGTTGACCGATTGTTGACTGTGTTTTTGCGATTAGCATGCCAATTTTAAGTGTTTTCCCAAAAATCGGTCCTTTGCTCGTTTGTTTTCACTGATTTTAGCAGACATGGCAACGGGCCCGGCCCCCGGGCTTTTTCGGCCCCAAAAATTTGCATGCGGCCGGGCCGACGGGGCTCGGCCCCACTTCCGGCGGGGCCGGGGCTCGGCTTTTCTCGCCGGCCCCGGGTTAAGCCAAAATGGGGGCCGAGCCCGGGGCCGCAAAGCCGCACTCTAATCAGAAATCCCGGTTGTAAATCACTTTCAGTCAAAATATCCATGCAAATTCGAAAAAAATTCTATTTTCCAAGGTTGCCATACACCTCCAGCCAGATCAGAACAGGTTCAGACCCGTATTTTAGTACTCTTTGATTGTTGGGACGAATTATTAAACACGTTCAATGAATTTTACCAAGACCGATGTCCTAACTGGACCAACGCACTTAAAATTTTCATTGCAAATTTGCATTTTAGCATCGGAATTTAGACGCAAATGAGCTATTTTAGTTTCCGGGGCCGAGCCGAATCGGCCGAGCCCGGCCCCGGAAAAGTTCGGCCGGGCCCGGGCCCGGCCCCGCGAATTTGCATATTTTTCCGGGGCCCGGAAGCGGGGGATTTTTTCATGCAAATTAGATTACAGGCCCGGCCCCGGGGCCCGGCCGCCCGGAATTGCCATGTCTG